CCACTTTAATTACTTAATAAATTTTTACAATATAATCAAGGTCTCATATTATTTCGGTTATATGAGAAGCCAATATTTTTATAAACAATTGGCTTTAGCAAAGGCCAAAGTAAAAATTTGCATATGTATGCAAATGAGCACTAGCCAAAAAGAATGCTGTTTAAAAGTAAGTTTTAACATTAATAAACAGGAGAAATTTTAAAATCTCTTCTACCAATATTTACAAAGTAAACCAAAAGTTATTATTCAAGCATTAAATCCCACCATAAATAAGACACCATAAGTAAAGTGAGAGTTACTTTTACTTGATAGGTATGCATTACAGTCTTGGCCAGCATCTGAAAAGCAACCAAGTTTGTTGCTCTGTTTAAAAGAAAGAAAAAAGGTTTTTAAAAGAAGCTTCCTAAAGGTGGCCTAGAAATTACTCTGCGAGAAAAAACAGAAGGAACTTAAGCAGTCATACTTCTGTGCCAAGAATTGAATTAAAATCTGTCAAGGCTGCATTGCAGGATTTTCAAAAACCGTATTATTGTACAGCAAGAAAATAAGATACCCCCCTTGCAGGTTAAATCAAAAAAGGGGGGAATAGTGGAGTAATCTCCTATAAGTAAACTACATCAAGCCTTAATTACTTCAGATTTTTTCACTTTAAAATTTTTTCACTTGTAATGCTGATGGCAAAACACCCTTGAAATTACACTGGTGTCAGAATAAGCCAAAAGAAAATGGTTTGGTTTATGGAAGGGTCCCTTTATTAACCTTTGGTCGAGGATATGCTTGTGTATTTCCAGAGAACTCCTCCAAGTCCATGTGGAAACTGCAACAATGGATATGAGACAGGAACTGACCAGGCTACTCCAACCATAGACAGCAGTGGCCCCAAGCAACATGCTGATGAGACTGAGGAGTAACAGTCAAGAAATGGGGGATGGTAAAGACGCCTTGCCATCCTAGCAGTCATCAGCTGTGCATCAGTGTAGGTTGCCTTGGACAAAGCCAAAGAAGGTCAGATGTGCATTGCCATTGCCCACTGTTTGTCCACCATCCAGAACTGGAATGTCATTGCTGTCATGTCACAGGGGACAGTGATTGGGAAGTGGACAGTGATTGGGAAGGGGACACAAAGAACTAATGGCCCAGAAAGGAGCATACTGAAAACCGGTTCCTTAGATGCCTGACAGCATTTTAAAAGCACATGATAGAACTCAATCCTTTTCATTGAATCTAAAAGTCTTAAAAGGACCTGAGCTCTCCAAATGGCATACGCCCTTCTAAACTTATTAAGAAAACAAAAGGGGGATATGCTGGCAGCTAGATCGACAAGTTGTTAATATATAAATGTGAGAAGTCCGTCAGAAGGCTGATGGACTTTGATATTCAGCAAGGGCTGAGAATCAGCATAATATTACCGGCTGCTGGATGAGTGGCTGAAGGCAATCCCCTAACCTGATAATCCTTTATTGTTTACCAAACCTTACCATTGATGTCTGTTTTCTTTGCTAAAGAGCAAATGTATATTCTAATAAATAAAAAGCTATGGGTCTGGAGATTCAGGGAGCCACTCCACTAGAGAGTAGGTCTCTGCCATCTGGCTCCCATACCTTCCAAATTTATATTTCTTGTCTAGTATATCTGTTTATGTTCAGCCCCTTCTCCAGATCCTGAGTCCTCACTGAAAAAGGTTGCGGCATAGGAGGATGCTTCATATGTGGGAAAATGGGCAGATTGGTGGGAACTGATAGGATGCTACCTTTTCTTTCCATTTAAAGATTCCTTGGAAAGTTTCTGTTCTCAGCCTTAATATAAGGCTTTATTCCCTTCCAAAGGGCCTAAATCATAAAGTGTAACCATTCTTTAATTGCCAGTGCTTCCCTGAGAAGGAAGAGAAAGGAATTCTATGGGGCAATGTCTTGAATTCAGTGAAGCCAGACATGAAACAACCGACAATCATGAGTCAAGGATTGTCTGATGGCTTCTTTTAGAGGTTGACATTTAGCTGTTGACTTCTTTTAGATATTGGCTTTTGGCTGTGATGAGATTCAGGAAGCCACCATTTGCCAATACTGTCATGAGAGTGCACCAAGGAACACAGAAGGCCAATGGACCTTGAGGGTTAGCAGGGCTGCAGCTAAGCACCAGTTGTTTGTGTTGAGATAGTGGTGGCTCAAAGCAATCACCTGACCTGATAGCCTCCAAGTAAATGTTTACTGGACCTTACTGGTCTTTACTGATCTTTATTGACTTTAGAGACAGTCTGTCTGCTACCTGTTTGTTGTGCTTTACTGAGGGCAAGATGGGTCTCTAAAACATAAAAGACAGGATCCAGTTTTGGTGTGTCTCTTCAAGAAAGAGGCTCCACCTGGTCTCCACCCTTTAATAATTGATATTTTATTCTAGTGTTTTCATTTGTGCATCAGCCCCTCCTTCAGATCCTGACCCTAGCCATGCAGGTCATGGCAATGAGATGTTTCTCAAGATCAAACATGGGCTACTTTACCTATAAACAAAGAACAACTTTTAAACAATTCTATTCACTGGAGCCAGGGTATCCAGGGTATCCCAATTGTTCTGTTTCCCTTCAAAAAAATGAAAATGTAAATATAAATAAAGCATTACTTCATTGAGGAGCTTTTACAGAAACAAAAAGAAAGCTCTCACAAACTCAATCATCAAGGAAATAGCTTGGTGCCTAATTATAATAAAATGAAGACAATTTGGGGGGGGGACATCTTTTAAAAGTACTTGACAAGCAAATTAATATTTGACAGAAAATGATAGTACAGCAAACATTATACTTGAGGAAGCAGTCAAAAGAAAGGCAGCGCTAAGTTTAGAAACAAAAGTAAGAGTAGTATAGGTGATGGAACTGGAGAGCATTATGCTAAGTGAA